AAGAAGAAGAGAAAAGGTCTCAAGTTTCCTTTTGCGGAGTTTATCAGCCCGCGGCTAAAGTCACATGCAGCTGACTCAGCTGATAAGGGAGTTTCTTCTATGTTCGTTTTCTTCTTCTCCAGCTTCAACTTCCAGCTTTTTGCTTCTTCCACTGCCCTGCCTACCTTAACCTTTGCAGATGCCTTGCTCCCGCTGCCGGGTCGCTGCCTTCTGCTCCCCCGACGCCTCTGCTGCTCAGCTGCGCGAGACCATGGGCGGCTTGCAAGGAGCTCTGCACATCTACCCAATCGCCATCACGTGAGTCCAGGTATCGTCCCTCCGGTTCGGTTGCTGTACATCCCGCTTGGCGGGTTGGGATGATGCCTTTTCTCTGGCAGCGGTAGCGATGTCGAGTCAAGAAGACGGCCTGTCACGCTGCGGCGACAATCCATCCGCCGCCGAGGGAGAAGTCGGACGCTCTCCAGCTTCTTTCGAATATCATCGTCATCGTCATCGTCGATGGGTTCGACGTCGGATGCATGCCAGGCCCCACTCTCGAGCTCCAGGAACGCGGCGCGGGAAAGCTTGAATCGAAGCCATAGAAAAAAGCAATTGTCCGCATACTCGACCTCTCTCCATGGACTAGCACTCCGTATTGCCCTCTAGCCACGTCTCTAGAGAGCTATTTATCGAGAAAGATAAATGATACCATACTGTTATCCGTCATGCGTTGACGGAGGCGCCTTCATTCGTCTTTCAGGAACTCTACCGAGGCATAAGAAGACGCTTGTCAATCCACCCTGACACGGAATGAATCGTTACGGATTATTCCGATCCTTCTTCGACGGAGGCAGGGCGAGCGCGCTTCTACGGAGTACGACACGTTACCATGCATGGCTAGGTTTCTCAAAGGTACAGTGGGGGTTCAGCGAGCTACAAGAATAGCTTTAACTTGGCCCTGCTCTCACGGAAACCGTCCGATACAGTGTTTTAAGTGTGCGAGCGGCGATGCCAGGAGTAAATATAGACGTCATTATTGGGCAGCTTTCGCCTCGAGTTAAGCCTGCGGATGTTCCAAGATAATTATAGAAAAGATCATGACAAATTGTAATTCCACAAGGTCATGAATGCGAACAGGGTGGAAAGCGGAAAAGAACTCTCATCATATGGTATCAATACGCAGCCATGATTCGTATTTATTTATTTTTTTTGACTTAATAGTGTCATGCCCCTGACTATGGAAGTATAGCTCAGGCCGGCTGGGAGACAGTTGTAAAACAATATCTCCAGAGTTCACAGCAACACGCTTCCAGTTTCCCTCAACTCCCAACTTTCACCGACACATCTAAGCATCCTTCTCAGCAGCGGCCTTTCGGGCCTTGGCGCCTCTGAGCTTCTTCTCAGGGCTGTCCTTCTTTGGTCGTTGGGATAGTCGGATAGCACTGGCACGGCAAACGGCCTCAGCACGGAGGTCGGCTCGGTATCCACCGCTTACAGCTCGGCTGGCAACAGCCTTGTATACCCTGGACAGAAACATGTATGTTTAGCAGGATGCTCAGTAAAGGTGGGCTCTACCATATCTCTCTCTTGGACTACCTCCACAGAGTATAGAAGATAGGCAGCTGATGCGGAATTTTTAAGGCTTATCCTTACTTGCGGTTGGAGGAGCCAGAGCCGTGGGTAGCAGTGTAGGTGTTAGAACCTGGCTTGTTGCAGTTGTTTGGTCTCTTGGAGGTGACGGCGACACCACCGTTCTCAGCACCTTGGACACCGATAGCCTATTATAACCAGCAAAATTCTCCGTCAGAAGATTGTAATCACTCCATCGATGTGCACTCTGCGCTGCAGAGCCCTTCCTAAATTCCTCCTCTTTCTCTTCTATTTTAAATCTCCTGGTTTCATTCCTTTTGTGGCGCAAAGAAAAAATATATCGCTAGGGTGTGAGTGGATGAAATACCTTGGAGTTGACAAAACCGGCATACTATAGTAGAAATAACTAGTTAGTATAGCCATTCCAATCATATCCCTATGTGCACATCTTCTAGAGAATAACCAACCTTTCTGGAGTGCTTGTTGACCAAGTTCAATGGGTCACGGGAGAACTGAACACCACCACCACATTTCCGCTTAACCAGGTAAGAGTTCTGGGTTCCTAATTATTCGAAAACAACCACTTATCAGCTTCATCCATACGTCTGACCGCGCGCGTCTTCAGTTGCAACATGTTTGCCTATTGCAGCACATTCAAAGTCCAGATAAGAGACGGGGATAGGAATTCGTACTGGCAATGGCCCAGACCAAGTCATCAGACACGTTAGAACGGGCGGAGGCAGCCATGGCGTCTAGCGAAGGAGAAACGGGAGGTTTGGTGAAGGGAGACGGAGGGTTTGGTTGTTGGTTGTTTGCGTGAACTTGATATCCCTTTCTTCCCTTTCTTCTGCTCTCAATTTGCGACTAATTTTTGTTGTGTGTATTTTTCTAGACGCCCAGCCAAGATGGTCTTGGCACGCGGCTAACCTTCCTCTCCGGGACGTCCTCGCTAACTTGGCCCGTTTTAGACTAGAGGATGATTCATGTATTAGTAACACAAAACCACGTGCTTGATTATATAATCTCCCCAGGCTTAACGCTTAACCTTGATAGAGAAGAAAAGAGACGACGACGAAGATATAAACGACGACAACAATCATATCAAGCAAGTGGAAGAAATATCATCGAGGGGGCAGCGCCACTCTTACACTCGTTCATATTTGTTCTATACCGGTCTACCTCTCTATAGCAGACTGTGCTCTGCGGCAGCCACCTAAGGACCCTCGAAAGAGACTTAGTCTTTCTTACCCACGGCCTGACGCAAGATCCCTGATCTGCCTAATATATCGGCGTCATGGGCTACTTTTACTATTCTCTCACCTTTTTTGCCTTTTTAGCTGCTGCAGGTAAGATGGAGACATTTTCTATCTCCCATTTCTTCCCAACATTATAGTTTTACCCTCCTTGGATGCCACCGGAGTTGACCTCGATGCTAATATTACCTTGTGCAGCGGCCTACTTTACCCGTGAACGCTGGCTTCCTCATCTCCCCTTACCAGACCACCTCTATACCAAACTGCCTACAAGTTTCCGAGGCGATGCTGAAGCAGGCTTGTCCTCTGCTGACTTTAATCTCGCGGACAACATTGTGGAAGGAGACTCGCGTGCTGGCCTAGATAAGCGCGGCAAGTCAGAGGTTCTCCGCATAATGAGGAGTAAAAAGGTCGATTTCAATGAAGCAAGGCGGATATATACTGAACAACGATTTGCGAAGAATAATATCGGCCCCGATGGGAGACCGCGGGATCCGAAATTTGTGTCATTCTCATGACGGGCGGGCTACTGTCGAATTTGCGCAAGCCCTCGGGGGAATAATACCTCTCTGCCTTTCCTAAACCCTCGTTTATAGTCATTTCTTAATCTCCTTCGGAATGGAGCACAGGAGCACGGTGTTTTGCATTTCGTTCTAATTTCCTACTTTGATTTCACTTGCATGTGCTATGGACATGCACCGGCTATCCACTACTTCTCTTCACTATTCCTGACCGGGCCTATCTCTTTTGGTCTATTCTATTCCAGCGTTGATCGTTTGTGTCATCTCTCCTTCGTTTGTTTTTTTGCCGTTATTGTATTAATAGCCATCCTTCATATATCTTACTTGCAATATTTTTGCGTATAGCCACAGAAAGAGGGCTTGTGACACACACTCCCTATTCTACCGACAGACACCGCTTTGGATACAGCGAATGGAGAGCCTAAACTTTAGAAAAGCCTCAAAGGCAAGAGGCGTAGCTGGGACGCTTCCGTGTGTAAAAGCGCTTCGGAGGTTGCAGAGTTCCTCCCATGACGTATAATTCTTTCACAGCTTCTTGGATTATTTTGCAAATTCAACGGCCACGACCATAACCTTGTTGCTGGAACCCAGGCGGGAGTTGTCCTGGCGGACCACCAGGACCGGGAGGACCTCCTGCTGGTGGTGGAGCAAAACCCGCAGGCGGAGGTTGGCCAAATCGGGGCGCCTGGGCGGGAAAGCCTGGGTGAGGTCCGCCATACCCAGCTTGCGATGGCGGAGGACGGGCAGGAAGTCCGGCAGGAGGCGTAACAAGCGGCTGAGGAGGATGAGTTGGTGGGTGAGGTGTGTGAGGTGTATGCGGCGCACGATGGTGTGGGAGTGGGCCGGCCATGTTCATATTCGGATATCCGCCGTTCATAACGGGGGGCATGCCTCTGCCTGCGCCGAAGTCCGGTGCTGCTGGTCCAACATCGATCGGCGGTCGTTGTTGCTCGGCATCCATCCCCGCTGCCACCGGCACGGCAGAAGGTACGTTTTGTACACCGGCATTCATAGCAGCGCCGGGAGCAGCGGGCGCACCACCGGCGAATTGAGGCGGTATTGGTTGTTGTGGCTGTGGTTGGACATTGTGTTTCCGGGCCTGGGCGGCGAGCATTCTCTCAGCTTGATCACCGTGTCTCTCTCCCTTGCCATCTTTCTTGTAGGCATATTGCACGGATATCTCTTTGTTCATAAGGTACTGTCCGTTCATATTGGCAATAGCGTCATCCGAAGCTTCAAAGTTTGAAAACGATATGAATCCATAACCCTTGGACAAGTTTGAATCATCTCGAGCAACCTAGAGTCCACATGATTAATAGCAGGCTTACATGAAGACCTGTTATACAGCGAAAAACTAACCTTAGGGAGTGATATCAAAGATCCAAATCTGCTAAAGGTATCATAGAGCACCTGCTCTGTGACCATGGGATCCAGATTGCCAACGAATAGCTCTGCGCCAACTTCGACAGCTTTCTGCTTATCGGCCGACGCCTTATTGACTCGAATGGGTTTCCCGTACAGACGGACTTGGTTCATAATCCTGGACGCATATTCTGCATCTTCTTCACTGTTAAACTCGACGAAGCCGTAGCCCTGGTGTGTTTGGGTGACGCGGTCTTTCGGGAGGTGTACGTTAACAATCCGACCAGCCTGGAGCATCAACTCCCATACCAGCTTATCTGTAACCCGCTCATCGAGGTTACCAATATACACGGTAGCCTCCTTATCTTGTTCCCTAAGACACCCCGTAGTTAGCTGTCTGTCCGAACCGCACCCCAGCAAATGTGCTACTCACCAATGCCTTGCGCCGGACATGACTGCCGCTTAGATTGATAAATACGCAAGATGAGAGTTTGTATAACACGCGCGACAACTGCACAGCTCTTTTTGCCTCCTGTTGCCGAGTCCCTCGGGGTCTTTTTCAATGTGTCGGTTGTTCAAACCTTTGTTTGGAGGTTGAAAGCAAAGACGGAAAAAAGAACAAAGTTGAACGCCAAGAAAGGAAGCTAAGTTAAGTAATTTTTTTCCCAGACCTTTCAATCTCTCGATGCTTCAGCGACGCAGCAAAAGGACGAACTTCTGTATTCCAACCAAATAAAACAGGCAAACCCTGCTGAAGCCTTTCCTTGCACAATTTGATTACGATAACATCGGAAGAAAAGACAAGATGATGCAGTTTTCGGAAGAGACAAAGGTAAACACATCTCCGGTTGCGGCTGATCTGGCATGGTCTGACATGAGTATAGGAGCGCATCTCCAAGGTCATCGATATTTCGCGAGTTGCTATTCACTAGTATGTGGAAAATCTGCTCTTTATGACACCTCCAATGTGCTATTACTGTCTGGTTCTGTTGAGACTGCAATCCGGAGGGCTAACCTCTGCTATCTGATGGCTCTACAGTGGATATCTTCCATTGATTGTCTACCTTGGTAAGCGACGAGCAGGCTAATATCAAAATGCTAATACGGTATCAATTGGCTAACATCTCACCAGGATACACATACAGTGAGCCCCGACCGGCTCTTCTCAAGTAGGATATTGAGCTCCGAGTTACCTTTAACCTCTCAAACTTACACGGCTCCTCATTAGACTCCTCTCTCCTCTCGCATAAACCTCTACGACGAATATTTTAAGGACGGCATGGGACGGCGTACGACTATACGGATGGCGGTGTTTTATACGAATGACTAGAAATAATACACTTTCGACAACACAGGCTTGAGGCCATGTGCAAAACTCGATCATGTTCCTCCTCTCAATTGACCGGCCAGTATGCCTACTCAGACTGAAACCACGCTGCAATTCTACCGCACCTACTTTTACGGCTACTGTGGGGATTGATTACCGTCTCTTCTACTGCGGAATATCTCTGTTTTCCTTCTTCATGTATTACTATAGTTTCTCAATCGAGCACAACATCTTTAATGTCCGCCCCAGTCACATCCCATCATGATCAACGAAGGCACCAAATTAAATAGAGCGTCAGTCATACCCTAGCCTTCGAATTCCTGTACTTTGAACTACTGTTGGTTATGAATGGGTTTTCCTGTGTACAGCCGACGATCCGGTGTTCCCAAACGTTCGTAGAATCCCGATGTATGAGGACCAGGAGAGATCCAACTACATGAATACACTCTCAATGTCTCATTGACAACTCTCTCAGCCAGGGAACGGGGAACCTTTAAACGTAATAAAACCGGAATAAACAACCGAATATCTTCGGCCAAAGAAGCTCAGCCACTCGGCAAAAGAGAAAAAAAAAGAAAATCCTTTAACTAGCTAACAGTTATCAATCTCTGCTTCAAGATGACAACGACCCTGAACTACCGCACTCTATCACAACGATAAACCAAACAACATCAAGAAACTCCTAGCTACAAGGGTTCATGAATGACAAAAATGGTCTTTCCCCGTCGTTGGTCGAAACGATAGCTGGATTTACCGCCGGCGTTTGCTCAACTCTTGTCGTCCATCCGCTTGATATTGTCAAGACACGGCTCCAAGGTATGGAATGTCAACCCAATTACTGAAGGGCCCAGTGCTAACGTTGCTTCACTCATTCAATTATAGTGGACCGGTTTTCCTCCTCGAAGTTTGGCAGCTCACTCCGCATCATCCGTGGAATTTCCCGCAATGAAGGTGGAATACAGGCGTTCTATCGAGGGCTCACGCCCAACCTTGTCGGAAACTCCGTGAGTTGGGGACTATATTTCCTATGGTACGGCGAGGTTAAGGAGCTTTTAAGCGTTTCTCGTGGGTCTGGTGGCCTTACTTCGTTGGATTATTTCGTGGCATCTGGGACATCTGGTAGGTTGAGATAACAAATGGCTATGGCCTCCATATACACTAACATTTATATCCTTTCAGGAGTGCTAACAACCATTCTCACCAATCCAATATGGGTTATCAAAACGCGAATGCTCTCCACAGGCGCTCATGTGCCAGGTGCCTACCGGTCAATGATGTCTGGATTCCAACAAATATACCGTAGGGAGGGCTTCACTGGATTCTACCAAGGTTTAATACCAGCTATGTTCGGAGTGTGCCACGGTGCTCTACAATTCATGGCCTACGAGCAGCTTAAGAGGTGTCGCACACGGATGACTCAAGCTTCTTCCTCGGATCGACTCTCAACAACAAATGATACCCCTTCAACGCAGCTGAAGACCCTGAGCAATATGGACTATCTCCTTCTTTCGGGAACCTCAAAAATTTTTGCCGGCGGCGTGACGTATCCATACCAAGTTCTCCGAGCCCGCCTGCAAACATATGATGCCAGGGGTACCTATAAGGGCGTACGAGATGCGTTTGTGCAGATATTACGAACGGAAGGATTGTCTGGATTCTATAAAGGCCTAGGACCAAACCTGGTCCGCGTTTTGCCCAGTACGTGGGTTACTTTCCTTGTATATGAGAATGCCAGGGTATATCTCATGGTAGATAAATGATGGTTATTATTTTATTAACTCCCGTGGGACATCCCTCCTCAGACCATACATATAAGGAACAAGGGGGTATATTAATATGCACCATTCAAGGGTAACAAACGCTTTTAAAGCTTGCACCACTTGAAGCGTTGGATCAAGACAGAGTTTGATATTCTGCAGTCGTCCGCCGAAGTAATGGTATATAATGAATGAGATATAGCCTAGCATTCATTACTTCGGCTGATCGACCCTCCATAATCATTAATATGGCACCGTGGTGGATGTGGCACAGCGTCCGCTTTCCTTGTCTCAGCGAAATAATTCCCAATTAAGCTATTACCAGGGAATGTCCCGGTTCGACAACGGCTAGCGGCTATTGATATGGTTAATTCCCCCTGTAATTATCTAGGTAATCGGAAGCACCGCAAACTATATAGACAAATGGCAGGAAGGCTATCATTCGAATAGATAACTAACAGGTTTTGACTACAACGGAGGTAGAGAATCGGTAGAACGTATGAAATCGAAAGGGCTAATTGAGGATAGAGGCCGAAACGGGAGTCTTGACAAATACAGAACGCCGGAAAGTGACGGTGAGACGCAAGAGGAATTTAATAAATACAGTTGACGCAAATAGCTTTGATTGATAGGATTGGGTTGGTATAAAGGTAACAAAACAGATTGGTATAATGGTATGAAACTACAGCCAGACAAGTATCTCGAGCACAGAAAGCAAAGAAGCCAAGTAAAGAAAACAGAAAGGGAGAAAATAAAGGTCGAGGTATGCTAGCTGCCCATGCTTTATATTGAAAAGAAAGAGGCCATTGAAAGGGGAAAAAGGAAAGGAAAGGGAAGAGATAAAACGCAGGTCCCCTCCATAAACGATGCAACAGAGCCGAATGGTTAGTAGTAGCAGGAATGTAGTAAAAAGATATGGAACTAAGCAATTATTCCTCTCGCTGTTGGGTGGGAACGTAAGAATAGGAACGCGTTTGTCCTTCCCTTTTGCTGGCATGAACAAAAGAAGAAAAAGAAAAGGGAAGAGTTGGCAGAGCCGAGTGCTTTTTCATCGTATTTTTTTTGGTGCGGTAATACTTCCGCCAAATGCTCCAAACCCTCCTTTATGTACTCCAGATACCCATAACTGTGCTCAGTTTCTGTTCCTTTTTTTTTTTTTGGTTTTTATAGTGGTATAATATTAATAGTTTTGAGTCATCGAACTGGAGTTGGCAGACGAGGTGCTGTTCACTAATTTATCCTTCCTTCAGGAACCCAGTCAGTGCGCGCCTCGTTGATACATTTGTTCATGAAATTCAACATCGTCACTGCTGGGTGTCCCAAGGTAAGTACCACGATGGTAGCTTCGCTCTCGCATCAGCTTCGCCTCTTCTTCACTGCCAAGAGGGAGCTGGTGGGCGGGCATTCTGCTACTTGAGGGGGGCGCGGGAGCAGGAGCAGGAGCAGAACTGATGATATTATTGGCAGCGGCATCTGAGGTAGTCGTCTTGGTAGAATTCGCGCGGGTTTTGGCAGTTGACGAAACGCGACGGTCCTTGCCACGGCCTTTGATTCCCTTGTTGCTGTTTTTATAGAGCATGGCAAAGTACTCCCATAGCTCGGCATCTTGCGGGCTCATTCTGTCAGGTTCAGTTATCATAGCAAAGCGCACGGTGAGGTTCCGCAGAGTCTGCGCATGGAACTTGTTCTGGTGAGACTATTATGATGTTAGTGTCAGGGTTAATTTTCTCGATTATCCTTGCTTTCCAGTCAATAAATAAATAAATAAATACATACCTTGAGGTTTCCCAGTTGAGTGAATTGCTTTCCACAGTCATCGAGCCTGCAAGTAAACGGCTTTGCTTGGTCATGGGTAATCTTGTGGGCGCGAACATTCCCTCGCTGAGCAAAACGCTTGTGACAGATATCACAGGAATAAGGCTTCTCTCCTGTGTGTCGCCGTTCATGAGTCTAGATAACAAAGTCAGCTTGGCTGAATTCAATAATGTCAGATCAGGGTTGTGGCCAATGTACCTTGAGATTTCCTAATTGAGAGAATCGTTGGCCACAGCCGGGCTCGCTGCAGAGCTATATGCATTACCAGAGTCAGTAAGCCGACTTCAAAAAGGTTGATGAGACAGCGTGACGGGGTTTACATACGAATGGTTTATCACCGGTATGAGCTCGCATGTGAATGTCCAAATGGGTCTTCTGGGTAAAATTCTTGCGACAGTCGGGAAGAGTACATTCATATTTGCGTCGCGACTTTTGCTTCGAAGCACCACGAGTTTGCTGGTGAGGGGCATAGCCAGGCTGTTGTATCTGTTGGGCCTGTTCCTGAGACATGGGAGCCCCATAGTTTGGTTGAGCCCATTCGGGAGCACCTCCGTGCATGGCAACATTACTCGACGTAGACGTGCCATTGTTGAACTTTTGGAGTGGCGGTAGTTGTAGCTGAGTTTGCGACGTGGTTCGTGGCTTTGATTGAATTGCTCTCATAAGAGTATCGATTTCGGTAGAGAACTCAACCTCCGGCTTGCTACCTGGTGGTGACGGCAGCTTGCTGATTTCGGCACTCCGAGGTGGTTGATCAATAGGGGCGCGCGCAGGTTGCGTTTCCTCTACCCGTGTGGCCGGTGTCCCAACCATGCGAGAGACGCCATTCTTTGCGTGCCGAGGCTCCTGGATTGGCTGTTGCAAAGTAGTTGGTTGGTTTGGTGGCAACCGTGACTGTGAAGGTGGCAAATGCGGCTGAGGTTGCGTCTGCGGTTGTTGATGCTGCGGTTGCTGTTGCTGTTGTGGGTGAGGATGATGCTGTGGGTGTTGCGCGTGCGGAGGAGGCGGCGGCGGCGGTTGCTGCTGTGGGTGCTGCGGGTGGTGCGGATGAGGTTGATGCTGTTGCTGCTGGTGCGGTTGATGTGGCTGATGCGATGGGTGAGGTTGATGAGATGGGTGAGGCTGATGGGGTGGGTGCTGCTGGTGCTGCGGATGTGGTTGATGGGGCTGATGAGGGTGCTGGGGTTGGTGTTGTGGATGGTGTTGCGGATGGTGTTGCGGATGGTGCTGTGGATGATGCGGGTGCTGCTGCTGTTGCTGCTGCTGCTGCTGTGGCGGCGGTGGTTGCTGCTGCGAATGGTTCTGTCCAAAGAATCCGTGGTAGGAAGCGGCCGGATGCTGGTTGGTATTCAGAATATGGCCGAAGTCGAGCGAGGAGGACTGGATCGGAGCTGCGTATGAAAGCGCCGGGTTCGAGTAGTAAGTGATGTTTTGCTCGTGGTGAGGTGCCATCATGCGTCGATGAGTGACATTAGCCAGATCATGGCTAGAAAAAGTACACGGGACAGGCACTGCGGTCTCCATTTTGGATCACAATGATATCGATGCTCCAAGTGCGGTGGCCGAACCACATTCCCGGGCAGGAGGGAGATTCGAGGGCAGTCGACGATGTGTTTTGGACGTCAACAGGAAGTAGTTGGCTGTCCGATGCTGAAGGAACAAACAACGATCCAACGGCCTGGGGTTAAAGAGACAACGAGCGTAATTATTTGTTTTTGCCTGCTGGGTGCTTTTTCTCTTATGTTTCTTTTTCGGAGTCGTGCTGCTCGGTGAATATTTTCTTTTTCTTTTTCTTTTTTTTTTCCTTTTTTTTTTTATTTCCTTCTTTTCCTATTCTCACTTGTTGATGCTCTTTTTTCAAGGTCCTCTTTTGCTATGTTCACGCGGGTATTCGCTGGTTGATATGAAGAGATATCTGCCGTTAATCTGGCTTTCTACCTGGCTTATGTGGTGTTGACTGACGAAAGTCGACGTGAGAAGTCGAGAGAGAAAAAAGTGAGAGAGAAACACGTCGTCAGCAACGGAGAACGAATCTAGCAGGCGATACAGTCTAGGGAGCGTCGCGAGAAGACGTCAATGGAGCGAGAAGGCAAGATGCTGCGGTGAGAAGCAGACGTTGTTGATGCTGTGCTGTCCTCTTCCTTGGTCGATGCCAGACAGCCAGAAAACCAGGCGGTGACTTGGTACGTT